TTATTATATATATATATATATATATATATATATATATATATATATATGGTGTGCGTATTTGAAATTAAAAAAACAGATGAAAGCAAAATGAGATAAGAAATTTAATTAGTCATATATATATGTGTGTGTGTGTGTGTGTGTGTGTGTGTGTGTGTGTGTGTGTGTGTGTAACCTTATCGTAAAAAATAAAAGCACACCTGCAAAATCAAAACTACAAAGAACGAACATTATTTACGAGTTCAAATGCCCTTTAGGGTCACACTACTACATCCCTATCTAGACGACTTACGTTACACCTGCTCGATCATAGCTCAATTAGGGGTTATTTAAATTTACAAACAAACCTACCAGACTCCATTCGAAACATACTAATAGAAAATGCAAGTATAATAGACTCATCCACACGCAAAAAAAGATTAAAAATAATGGAAGCCCTAATAAAAAAAGGACAAGTCAACACTCAATAACATTAACTACGAACATGACCAAAATGTGCTGAATGTGTTTGGAGAATAAAATATTTTTATAACTATAGTCACATACATAAAAAACACACAGATTTGGTTAATAATAATAATAATAACATAAAAATTGCTCTTGATTAAAAGATTAGCCGAATGTGCTCAGATAAGCGATTTAGCCTTTTATTTAATTTTTCTTGTGTTCGTACAAGTCTTTTTTCTGAACACAAAGTACGTCAAAACTGTCCCAAAATAAAAAGGTAACTTTTTTTTCTTGTCTAAAATGTTCCTTTTTATTTATGTTTTTTTTCTTTCCCATTTTGGGAACCCATTTACCGTTACTTCAAACTGAACGTTAGAATTCACATAAATGCATTACCATAAAACATTTTAACTCCTGATTGAAAGCCTCTCCCATTATCCGCTCAAAACTCACTTAATATCATGACAAATTAGTTATTTACTTGGTGGCTGAGATGTGGCACAAGGTTAATGTTTTTCATGTCGATATTCCACCGAGCCCTTCTCTTTAGTGCAATGAGGGAGGTGCTGCCTCACAGTTGGAATCCCCGGAACCAGGCATCCACATCATGATAAACTATATAACTCTTTCATAATAATAATACACTTCCAGCAATGTGGAATCTTAAATTCCAGTTTTATTATTTTAAATTATTTTTATTACTTCGAATTGTTAACAAATTAAATAACTTTCTTTAGAAGCTAGCGATGTGTGACGTCAGCGCATTCTTCTTGGGACCACAGTGTATCAGTTATGTTTGAATATGTGAAGAGATTGTAATTCTTTAGTTTTGACACAAGGCCATGAGTATGGTGATATTTTTTAAGCGTAGCTTAGATGAGATCAATAGGCCAAAAGTATAGCGCACCCGATAAGGATTGAACTCAATGCTAAATATACTCAAGACAAGCCTATTAACCCTTGAATTACAACGAGGCGCCTGGGAAAATATTCTATGACATTGCCATCTCATAAGAGGGTGAAGCTATCATAACGTGATGATAGTTTCTTACAACGTTTGATTGTTTTGAATTATTGTTACTGCTTGAAATTGTTCTTAAAATAAATTCATTTATTTATTAACTATTCATATCTCTGTTAATGGTGAAATTCCGAGTGACAGAAAGTGACTTTGTCTATCGAGAGCCATTACTGTGTGACGTCCCCGCTTTCCTCTTGGGACCACAGGTGGCAAAAAATTTGAGCGTTCGACGAAGTGCTCGGGTTTCATTGCAATTCAAACAAACATTCAACCGTGAGTTCGACTCTCACTGGGAGATGCATTCACAGATGGGATGGGTTAATTAATTTTATGTGACAACCCAATATGGTTATTTGATGTAGAAATTATATTTTTATTATTATATTTGAGCCTATGTTATTTTATTCGAGGATATCGGTCGTTTGTTTTTTAATCATATTTTTAATCATTTCACCCCAAACAAGGCAATAAATCCACCAGGATACAAGCGGTTATTGAGTGTGATATATTATGAGGGAAAGAAAGCATTATTAACTCTTTGAAGACGGAGCCTCATTTGGAGCCCTTTTCACATGACCTGGTTTGAAACACACACACACACACACACACACACACACACACACACACACACACACACACACACACACACAAAGTCGATGTAAAAACAGCAAACTATCATAGAAATCGGCATTAAAAGACCCAGATGTGCAAGAAATACGACAAGCAATCTGATTGGCTGGTACGAAGACCAGTCAGCTAATCTCGAGGCTTGTATTATCGGGCCGACTGATCGGCCCATTTTACTTCGTCATTCGATTTTTCGGCTGATATATCGGTCCTATCGTCTCCTAAGTGTTAAGGAGATAAAACTTATTGTTATATATAGGAATTGAGAAGACAGATGATAATGATTGACATTGGATTTAAATTTATGAAGATCAAAGTTGACTAGAAAACAAGAAGCTTGAAAGGATTTGTTCATTCCAGAAAACGTGTTCTAGTAATGTTTCCAATAGGGGCACATTGTATCACGAAATGCATCGCTTCACAAAGTGGGCTATTTTGTAAGCGACAACAGCTAATAGTGACCAAGTAAGCAAATTTTGATTTCACAAGGACATTTTGGTAATTAAATTAACACACCTCATACATTCAATGAGTATCGCTTGCCAAATTATATGTGCACTAGCCCGTACTTGATTCAAAAATCGTACGACTCATAGTGTAATCGCTATCACTTGACTTAAAATATTTTGCCTTTAAAGGAGTGCCTTTTCCGTGCTGATGTTGCTACATGCCTTACTTCTTGCCTATCTCACACTGCAAATTTTTTCGAAGCTCTATACTAAACATTAAATCTGTTACGAAAAAAGAACTAAACAAAACGAACACAAAACGATCAGCTTTAAAAAAGGACTCATAACTGGAAAAACCGAATGAAAAAAGAATGTTAACAACAAATACTTTTTCACACCCAACCCAGTTCTGCGAATGAGCCAATTGGAGTAAAGTGCCATGCAGATTTATATTTTTCCCACATGTGACGAATGCAGCTATTGATTTTTTTTGCATGTTAGCATGCTAGTTAACATTCGTGTCAGTCAGCTGTTGGCTCTCACGCTGGCCAATAGAATCTTCCTGCCTATTCGTGGCAGCCAGCTATAGGCTCTCACTCTTGCCAGTAGAAAATGGCCGCAAACTACATGAAAACTTCCGTAGAAGCATGAAAAAATCGATTATTTCCACTATCGATGGGAGTTGGGAAATGCAAAGTCGGTCTTGGCCTTCTTGCTAACTTGGAGCATGTGCATGTAAATTTTGGTGTAAATCCGTCGAAAATTGCAGCCGTGTATTCGTTACATACAGTCACACACATCCTGCCTTTTATAGATAGAGATTTTCAATGTTTCAGCCATTGTACACTTAGTTCTTCTTCAGGTCATATACTTTGGAATTTCGCAACAAACCCTTTTAGTCTATGGGGTAGATTGTTCTAATTCCACATGCCATGCCTTTTTTGGATATCTCAATTTCAGTTAATACCATTTAGTAACTCAACTCTCCAAGTCTTGGGGCATGTGTATGTAAACTTTGGTGCAAATTCGTCGAAAATTGCGGCCGTGCATTCCTTACACACACACACACACACACACACACACACACACACACACACACACACACACACACACACACATCCTGTCTTTTATAGATAGAGATTATACACTTGTTACTGTCATATGACATAAAATATAGTAAGTTCCTATAAGTAACATACCAACAGAATAAAAGAACTAGTGATTTATGAAAAAGATTATGGCAAACAATTTTATTGCAAATATATTTTGATGATATTCACGTTTTAGTTCCGCCACTTTAGATATTTACAAGGTCTTTGTTATGACGATTAACTACATCCGACAGCAAGGCCTCTGATCGGGAGATTAGAGGTTTTCAGGAGCGTGAAACCACATCTCTAGTCCTCGGTATGACGCTAGTCCTCGGTGTGATGATAAACTACATCCGACAGCAAGGTCTCTGATCAGGAGGTTTTGAGTTTTTAATTGCTGTTGTTCCCAGGTCCACCCTGACCCGGGGTGGTAGCGCCTATTAATATTAAACAATACATTCATGTTTAATCTGAAATATTTCGTGGGTAAATAGGCTGTTCCCTGTTTCACTCCAGTAAGTACCTACATTTTCCTGTTATCGTTTACCTTTACAAAAGCCAGATCAGACCGAAAATAGTGTACAGCAATGATATATGGACAAGAGCTGAACAGTCTTCACATTCCAGTATTGATAGAGTCCAAAAGCGTATCCGCGTCCTTGTGGGTGATGAATTATTTTCCACCCTACACAACCCGTTTCCCATAGACGAAACGTTGCAAGTCACTCGCTGCTTTATCGCTATTTCCATGGAAAGTGCTCAGAAGAACGACATTCCTTGGTTCCCCCAGTTCTAACATTCACGGCCAAGACCCACCATGCTACGCCCATTGTAGCAAACCATCGTCACCCCCCCGCTTCGTATTCCATTGAACAGCTGCTTTGTGGAACCGACTCCCAAGGGGATGCTTCTCCAATCACTACAATCTTGACATGTTCATTTCTAGGGTTAACCGTTATCATCTCTACCTGTCCGCATAAACTGTGCCTCTTTACGCTGTAACCCTCTACCTCGAGTGGCTCTTGAGCCTTGCACAGGGTGAACATTATTGTAAAAGATAAAATATATTGTTTACTATAGGCTCCTCCCTTTGTTTCTTTCAAGAGGAGTAGGCCCGTGCCATGTGGCTCACCTGTTTCCTTCCTTAATTCTGGCCTGCCGCCACAAACACACAGAGAAACGATTTAGTTGCTTCAATTGTTTTGTGCTTACTGCAAAATACAATTGATCCATTCAATGGCCAAGATGATAACCGACAAAACACTTTTTTTTTCTTTTCTAATGAAGCATAAAATTATTCTTATTCTATTTCTTTCTTTCCTCTCTCGTTCTCTCTAAGCTGAATACTTTCCGGGCTAAATTAAGATACTAGACGACTTCAATAACGGAACAGCTATCTTTACGATGGGAAGTTGCTAATCGAGATTTGAGTTTGGAATCTGTGCAAGTTTAGTGATATCAGACACAATTGCTTTCGGGGGAGGGGAACTGATTAGTGTTTCTTTTTTTTTTTTTTAATAGTTTTAATTTTGCAAGGATAACAGATTTCTTTTTAAAATACTGGCTGCTTTTAAAATTCCTCGAATGATATTTAATTATCAGGGAAAAAGTTGAATTTAGAACCATTTACAAGAGGCACAGGACTATTTCACGTAAAAGTATTATTTTTCGTTCATTTTCTGTCTTTTGATTGCTATTTATCTCATACTCTTTTTACTTACGCCCTTTCCCTTTCTATGGCCCTATCATATCGAAGCACTTATTTCCGTACGATCACCGAAGTTAAGCAACGTCGAGACTGGTCAGTACGTAGATGGGTGACAGCTTGGGGATACCCGCTGCTGTAAGCTTGGATGTGCGGGTGGTGTTACGTGCTTACAGTCATATCACGTCGAACCACCGATTCCCGTACGATCACCGCAGTTAAGCAACGTGATGACTGATCAGTGCCTAGATGGGTGACCGCCTGGAAATACCCCGTGCTGTAAGTTTGGGTGTGCGGCTGGTTTAATGTGCTTACGGCCATATCACGTCGAACCACCGATTCCTGTACGATCACCGAAATACGTGAATCGGTGGTGTACCTGGATGTGCGGGAGGTGTAATGGATAGTGGCTAGAGATTTTTAATCGGTGATCTGAGTTCACGTTGGGTTCGTTATATTCACTTACGCGCAAATACTTTTGGGAAAGGTACGAATCTACTTCTTTTTCCCCAACTATGGGTTAATTAGTAAGACTTGTATCGCTAGACCATTATTATCTCATAAAAAATGATAGAATCTAAAAATATTTTATGGCTTTAAATAGCCTGCAAAGGGTTGATAAGTCATAAAAAATGAATGAATCGATTTTTCTGTGGCTTTTCTTTTGCTTTTTTTTTCTGTGTATTTTTCTATACTCTTTTACCCCAGGATCTTTTATGAAAAAGGCAAATATGTGAAGAAAATGATAAAATGAAAGACAAGAGATGAAAAGAAAAAGATGAGAGTGAAAAATGAAAGAAAGGTTCTGAAAAAGAAAATGGTAAGTAAATGAATGGAAGAATATGAAAAATAATTGAGACGATAAGGAAAATGGAAAGAAAGAAAGAAAAAAGAAGTAGATGTTGAAAAAGAAAGAAAGAAAGAAAGAAAGGAAGGAATTCGTGTAAAGTAATGAGAAAGAAAGAAAGAAAGAAAGAAAGAAAAGAAAGAAAGAAAGAAAGAAAGGAATTCGTGGAAAGTAACGAGAAAGAAAGAAAGCTGGTGTAAAAGAGAGAAAGAATGGAACGAAATGATGGAAAGAAAGAAAGAAAATAAAGAAAGAAAAATGTTAAAAATTAAAGAAAGAAAGTAATTCATGGAAAGTAATGAGCAAGAAAGAAAGAATGAAGAAAGAAAGAAAAAACAAACAAACAAACAACAAGCAAAAAGAAACAAAGAAAGTTGGTGTAAAGAAGAGAAAGAATTTAATGAAATGATAGAAAAAAGAAAGAAAGAAAATAAATAAAGAAATAAAGAAAAATGTTGAAAAACAAAAAAGAAAGTAAAGAATGGAAAATAAAGAATGGAAAGTATTGAGAAAGAAAGAAAGAAAGAAAGAAAGAAAGCTGGTGTAAAAGAAAGAATGAAACGAAATGATGAAAAGAAAGAAAGAAAAAATAAGAAAGAAATAAAAAATGAAAGAATATGAAACGAAAAGAAAGAAAGAAAGAAAGAATGAATGAAAGAAAGAAAGAAAGAATGAAAAAAGAAAGATACAACGAAGTTATAATCTATTCTGGTTGTTCTTCTAGAAATTTATTTTTTGTATTTCTAAAAAGTTTCTCACAGTGTGTCACTCAACCAGAGGCTTTCAGATTCCAAGGGCCAGAGAATTCAATTCATTATTCTATTTGCCATCAGTTAATGGAAAATACTTTCCGAAATCCAATCAGTAGACCGAGTTACAGGCAATCTTGAGAATTTTAAATAAAATTGTCTCTTCTATGCTTTGACTCTTTAAGCAACTAAATAAGCTACAAGAAAATTCAAACGGCTGAAAAATCATTTTTAATCATTTCGTCGCAAGCAAGGCAATAAAGCCATTAAGACACAAGGGGTTACTGAGTGCGAAATAATAAGAAAAAGAAAAACATTATTAAAGAGAGAGAACAATAAAAGAAGAGGAATTTGAGCTTGTATAATTTTTACTCTCAAGCGACATCAGATGCAAAATAAACTTTTCCTCCCTCATATCCGTAGGGGGGGGGGGCATATCACCTTCCCACCAGTGGTTTCCTGAAACTGCGAATAGTAACGGGTTTTATATATATCATTTTCTTCAAAGCATATCCTATGACACGTAAGTTTGATTATATAAATTAATGTAATGGTAGTAACATCTGATACGACACTAAACTAATTAAAGTTGATTATTTGCAGTACGTAATGTAATGGTAGTGGAGGCACGGATTGAGGAATCGGAGAGCCGAGTTCGAATTCAAGTCGAGTTTGGAAAGGTATGGATCCCTCTCTCCCTCCCAGCTATGAGTAAATAGCGTGTAACCTAGAGCCTTGGTTGGCAACCAGTCTAGGGGAAGGAAAACTATGAAATCCATACCACCTGCCGTTTTAACTTCAGAGAGGAGGGACAAGTAATGGCACTATTGTGCCTTGAATGTCACCATGAACCACAATTGTGAGATGGAGGTTGGGGTGACCACAGCGGTGCAAAATGCGCTCAAAGAATGAATGAATGAATGAATGAATGAATGAAAGAATGAATGAATGAAAGAATGAATGAATGAATGAAACAATGAATGAATGAATGAAAGAATGAATGAATGAATGAAAGAATGAATGAATGAATGATTGAATGAATGAATGAAAGAATGAATGAATGAATGAAATGATGAATGTTACTAACATCAGATAAGAATAGAAGACTAAATTTTTCATACGTAAAATAATCGTTTATTCGTTAACGAGAGTATGTAGCTTGTGGTCTTTCTTTGAACATACGATGTTCTTATTTTCACTATTTACATTGTTCGGGCTGTTATCCTCATCTTTATTGTCACATTCACGGCGTTTCGGCCGTTGCACGCTCCGGGCTTCTTCAGGTGGTATACACTGGAATTTCGATTTTAGTCCGCGGGGATAGATTGTTATAGTTCTACGTGCCATTTTCTGGATACCTCAGTTAATTCCCTTTAGTGATTCAACTCTCCAAGTTTTTTTGTTTTTTTTGTTAGTTTACCTCTGACGTGGCAAGGTATTGAACTTTGAACACATCGCCCAGTGGTTAAAAGCGTTGGTTGAATTAATCCAAAAGTAACTTGACTCAAAGAGTTGTGAGTTCAATACCTGACCACAGCAGAGGTGAACAACAGCAACAACAACAACAACAAAAACTTGTAGAGTTGAATTACTAAAGAGAATTAACTGAAAATTGAGATACCCAGAAAAGACATGACACGTGGAACTAAAACAATCTATCCCCGTAGATTAAAATAAATGGTTGAGTTCGAAATTCCAGCGCATATCACCTGAAGAAGGCCGGAGCGTACAACGGATGAAACGTCGTGAACATAACAATAAAGATGGCGACAACAGTCTGAACAATGTAAATAGTTACGACACCTCATCTCAGAAAAACAGACAGATCTTCCCTCGTCGGTTGGGTGCTTATATAAGAGCCCAACATGTTATCCGGTTGTTTTGCATTTGTTCATTTCTTTTTTTTTTATGTTGAGGCCCGATTATGCACTTGGCTGCTTTGAGACAGCTTTGGGGTCAACATTCGTGGCACGTAGGTGATTTGACGTCCTGAAGTGACATCGACTATCAATTGGTATCTCTCGGTACATATTGGGGTCACCACAGATCAATTCGGACACGCAAGCTACCAATCTGCCAATGGGTGGCATGCCACTAACGTTTGCTGCTGGTGGGCTGCTGACAGGCAGCCGGCGTGTTTGTCTCGGTAATGTTACCACTGGCGGAACTTTAGAGGCCCGCCGGTGGCTGTCACCAGGGAACTGTTGGTGTTGCCATCAGCGTCCTGCATGCCGGCCACTAGCGGCTTGCGTGTAGGGTTCTGTGAATCCTTAATTTCTGAATTTATTTAATAAGTAGGATCTGTTGAATAATCCGAATCCATTTTCGTTCGATTTCAGGTCCTCAATCATATTTTTTTTTTTTTAGATGACACATAGGGTCTGTCCTATCTAAACTGCTTCTAAACACACTTTTTCTTCTTATATGCTTGGGAATAAATTCGAAGCGAGGTCATTCACAAACCCTATTGTATATTTCGCATTTCTGTTTATTTATCTATTTCTTGCGGTTTGGAATAATGGATAATGGCTCGGGTTGAGACATCGAAAAGCCGAGTTCAAATTCGCGTTGGTTATATTCACTTTTGCTCAAATACCCTTGTACTGTACTGTACTGATGCGGCATTCACCCTGGGCGGATTGAGCCGGCTTCTTCCTTTTATGAGAAGAAGATTCTTGGGATAAATTACAGAAGTAGGGTACCCAGGCCTACTCGGATAACGTTCTTGCTTGCCGCGGGGTTCCCACGGACGCAGAGACAGGAACGACCAGAAGCCGCCGGTTACCGATGCAGACGCTCTTTGGATTTTCACCAGAGCCCTTGTTAGCCGGCGTGTGTGTCAGACCTGTCCGCCTTGGGTGGCCCTACCAGGAACGAAGTTCCGGGCGGCATAGCTCTGACACTACCGTTTACACCCCCCCACCGACTGTGAGGTAAGGGTTGGACTTTGGGGGCTTACAGTACCAGGTGTTCCCAAGCGGTCCCCCATCTAAGTACTGACCTGGCTCTACGATGCTTAACTTCGGATATCGAACGAGAACCGGTGTTTTCAGCGTGATTTGACCGTAAGCCTTGGAAAAGTTATGAATCCATCTCTACTCCTCTCAGCTATGGGTTGAATAGCAGAACGGACTGGGTCCTATATCCTTTCACGCAAAAAGAAACGGCAGCGTACTGCGGGAATATCTACCTTGTCATACATGAATAGAAAGCAACATGAAAGCCCGAGCGAGTATTGTGTATGGCACTGACTGATCTATATCTTTGTTTATTCTCGATCTATTTGGAAAAGAATGTTAGAATAATCCAGAACTTATACTGGGAGCAAACCACCTGCATACGGATAGAAAAGGAATTGAATAGGCACACAAAAATAGTCACGGGCGTGTATTTTCACTGCACTTATTCAACATTCAGAACGAGGCTATGCTAAAGGAGCTGGAGATACTACACGCATTTACTATCGACGGGCAACATCTTAACTAACAACGTTGGATACGCAGATGGCATTGTTTTGATGGAAGACACGGGACAATAACAAGACCTCCTAAGCATTGTAGTAAAGAAAGTGCAGGAAGAAAGGACTAACTATCGATTGTTAGAAGACATCATGGATGATTGTCAGCAAGGAAAAAAAAAAACACCAAGATACGAACTACGGACTGGGGATGTCAAAATCAAACAAATACAGTTTAAATGTGCGGGAAGTTTTTTTTAACAGAGGATGGGAAATATGACCCTGAAATCCGAACGTGCATAATAATAGCAGAAGATGCATTCCAAAAATTAAGCAAAGTATTAAAACACTGGAAAATTTCATTAGAATTATTTTTTTTAAGAGTGCTGAACTATGTAATATCAATCGTCGTATCTGACAGTAAATTTTGGACAATTTCCTCGCATATAAAGAGAAGACTAGGCAACAGAAATGTGGTTCTACAGAAAATTTCTGAAAATAATATGGGTATAGCATTGATGAAGGCCTCCCTCCTCTTTGTGTGCCCAAAGAATTTCAGCTGTCTCTTCGTAATTCTAAGCATAAATGTTCTTTTTGTTGCTATTTTCTTTAAGACTTCATTGTCGTTTGCTCGCTACGTCCACGGAGTTCTGTCTTTTCTGACCAGCCAGATTTCCTTCTAAGAAACCTTAGATCGATTCAGCATGTATTTTCTTTTGTTTATTTCTCAGCCGATTCAACTTGGCCCTTAAACGCATTCACTTTGGTCAAAGGCATAGTACTGTGTAAGTCTACTAACTCTTGGGCGTAGGTTGAAATGCTGATTAGGGCCTCTGACCTGAAGACTATCTGCTAAATTCAGTTCTTGACAGCTTTGCATCTCTTGCATGAGCCACATGTCAAGTACGAAATCATCTTTCCCCAAAGGGAAAGAGAAGGACTTAGGGGAGGGGATCATAACTGAGAACCTTTTAATTGATTCCCCTGAGGTTGCCACTGCGTTCATGCAGGTTGATTATTCACAATTAATTAAATATTACTAATTACGTTTATAAGTATTTCTTCAAGCTGGGGATATAAAATAATTACATAGCATTGTTACTTAGATAAGATTGACATTTCGGACCCCAAAACAAAAAAAATTGATTACGACATGTCAATCCTTCTTGGGTTATTCAGTAGTAATGTCCAGCTAGACTGGACTCGTTAACCATTAACCCACGCCGATTTTTCGTTGTTTGATTTAACAATATGTCAAGACTTTTGGGCTTATTCAATGTAAAATTTGGTATGAGTTAATCCAATGATAAAACCCATTGCTCAGTAGTATGGCGAGCTAGACTGGTCTCATTAACCATTACCCTACACCGGTTTTTCGTTGTTTCATTTAACAAAATGTCAAGACTTTTGGGCTTATTCAGTATTAAATTTAGTATGGGTTTATCCAGTGATGATAAAACCCACTGCTCAGTAGTAATGGCCTGCTGGACTGGGCACGTTAACCATTCCCTCAAGCCGATTTTTCGTTGGTTTATTTAACAGCATGTCTAGTCTTTGGATTTTATTTATTTATTTTATTCTAATAAAGCTCACTGCACGGTAGTAATGGTCAGCCAGACTGGCCTCGTTAACCATTACCTCACCCCGATTTTTTGTTGGTTGATTTTTCTGGTCTTTACAGAACTCACATTAGGAAAAAAGCACAAAAAAGAGAAAAATAATTCTCTGGAAGAAGGAACCGAGTTCATTGCTCACGAAGACATATTCGTCAGAGGATGGAATTTTGAAGTTGTCAGAAAGTGATGCAATGTGACTAGAAATACTTGACTAGATGAACGCCATTGTTGAAGAAAAACTTGTCTATGGGTGATGCTTCACTTTTAATGCAGAAGTGTAATTTTTACTGATTAATTCATGTACATTATTTCATATATATATATATATATATATATATATAATTATTTATTTAAAAATATGATTCCAACACGCTACATAAGAGTTCTCATGTTTCAAAACAAGAGCCGAAAACTTCAATATAATTATTAGAATTAAATTGAATTAAAGTACTAAGCTTTGTTCCATCTTCAAGCGAAATTTTTTTTTTTGGTTCCCAAAAAAAAACATTAAAAATATTTTTGTCCTTCCTTGCCTTTAAAGGAGTGCCCTTTGCCGTGCTGATGTTGCTACATGCCTTACTTCTTGCCTATCTCACACTGCGAATTTTTTCGAAGCTCTATACTAAACATTAAATCTGTTACGAAAAAGAACTAAACACAAAACGATCAGCTTTAAAAAAAAGGACTCGTAACTGGAAAAACCGAATGAAAAAAGAATGTTAACAACAAATACTTTTTCACACCCAACCCAGTTCTGTGGAATCAGAATCAACGTTGAGTTTAAGCAAGCGAATGAGCCAATTGGAGTAAAGTGCCATGCAGATTTAAATTTTTCCCACTTGTGATGAATGCAGCTATCGATTTTTTTGCATGCTAGCATGCTAGTTAACATCCGTGTCAGTCAGCTGTTGGCTCTCACACTGGCCAATAGAATCTTCCTGCCTATTCGTGGCAGCCAGCTATAGGCTCTCTCTCTCTCTCTGGCCAGACTACATGAAAACTACATGAAAACTGCCGTAGAAGCATGAAAAAATCGATTTCCACTATCGATGGGAGTTGGGAAATGCAAAGTCGGTCTTGGCCTTCTCGCTAACTTGGAGCATGTGCATGCAAATTTTGGTGTAAATCCGTCGAAAATTGCGGCCGTGTATTCGTTACACACACACATCCTGCCTTATATATATATATATATATATATATATATATATATATATATAAGGTGGCAATAAAGTCACTATACCGTTCAGTTATGTGCCATTCTTAGGCGATCATGTAACTTTCGATACATAATTGACGAGGCAGATTTTTTCACGCAGTAGGTTGCCATTTCTTTCTGCTATAGACCAGTTACCATCCAAAGCTATAGAACGCTAGCTGGGAGGAGGGAAGAAGAGGATTCATACCTTTTCCAAGGCTATTAGCACGTAAGTGAATGTAATGGATTCGACTGGAATTCGAACTCGGCTCTCCGATTCCTCAATCCGAGACATTATCCATTACTCCACCGAGCCCATACAATGGTTTTGCAAGAAACCGAGAAATAACGCTGGCCTCAAGCAATTTATTTGAGAAGCATTTGCAGACTTAAGCCGTAGAACCATTTCTATCGTGACATTTGTTGAAGTGTTCTCTCACGTTGTAGGGAATGCATTGAATCAGGTGGCTTGCAGTTCAAACAGTATTGGTAATTAATTTACAATTGTTCACCATCGCATTTTATTGTTATTAACCAGAACCATTTTAATAATAGATTTCTGGACTGTTGATTAATTACTTTGTTTTAATTGTTATTGTAAGTAACTCTATAGAGACTTTATAACCACCCTGTATATATATATATATATATATATATATATATATATAGTTTCCATCGTATTCTTCAAAGCTTTTTTATTTGCTTGCTGTCTGAATATTGGCTTCCAAATGAGTACTACTCACAATGTCAAATTTCGTAAAACGTTTGATTCTGGCGTATAAACTCCCCTTAGCCTCAATTGCACACAGATAAAAGCAACCGAAAAAATATTTTATTCATCAAGATTCATAAATTCTTATTAATTTGTTAAAATGAAGATATTCGATATATTATTCCATTATTTCAGGCTTGTTGTTAATATTTTCTTTAATCATATATTAAATATGTCACCTTAATTTATCTCATTACAGAGTGAACAAAAGAAAGCGGGAGAAAACAGACAAAATAGATGTATGCATAATTTGTGTTTATAATATAAAAATACGTGCAACCCCGACGCCACATCGGTGTTATTAAATAGAAATTTTAGAAATAATTTATTGTGATTGCCTTTCATTGACTAAGCTTTATCTTTGACAAACACAGGGAAGCAATTTTGGAACACTTGGAAAAAACGAACTGGCCATTAAAACCAGTTTGTTAAATATTAATCAACGATAAAAGACTCCCGTTTTTATGCACTGACTGATTTTATATTAAACGTCCAGAATTAAGTCATATCTCCTCATTAAATTCCGCATATAAACATTACAACATTATAAATTCGTTTTTATTTTTAATTTGATTTTCAAACTTTCAGTTAAAAATAATATTTCTGAGATCAGGTATTGTATTTATTTATACTATTTATATTGTTTGGGCTGTTGTCCTCATCTACGTTGCCATATTCACGACGTTTTCTGTTGTTGTACGCGCCGGTCTTCTTCAGGTGATTGCAAGAGGCGTAGCGCGTGGAACTAGAACAATCTACTCCGATGGACGAAATAAAGTTTCAGTTGAAAATTTCAATCACCTGAAGAAGGCCGGAGCGTACAACGGTCGAAACGTCGTGAATATGGTAACGAAGATGAGGGCAGCAGTCCGAACAATGTAAATAGTATAAATTGCTATGAATATATCTTGGCGCTGAACTCAGCATAATTTTTCTCGGTTGATTGATTTTAGCATATTCATACTTTCTTCTTCTTTATGTGCTATATCCCCACAGGACGTAGGCGAACATGGCTCTCCCTAATTTCCT